AATCAGTTACAACTTTTATTGATTCATTCCATTGCGACTTCATTTACTTTATGTTGCTCATTTAAAAAGCTATAATATCGTTTAATGAAAAAGTTCGGTTAGATTAGATAAACGTCAAATAAATGACATTTAGTTGCATAATTTATTGTTTATTGAGGTTAGATCGAAATGAATGTTGTCAATGAAATATGTACGTGTTGTATTACGTAAAAGAAAAGTGTATTAGCAGTTTGTGGAGCAATAAACACGGACGTTATTGAAGAGAAATGTAGCGACAGTTAATTATTAAGGTTAGATCTACAACATCTGTCAGATGGTGGACGTGCAGTTGCAGCAATTTACAGCGAAACGTACACGATAATAATTCGTATTTCGCGGCATCGAGCACAGAAACGCTCAAAACAAACTGTCAATTGAATGACAGTTGTTTTGACACCTGTCAAATTAATTTAGTGGTGTTAATTAAGCGTTGTAACGAAGACTTTAAGTATGATGGAAAGGGATAGAAACAGCTGCGTATATAGGGGATTAAGAAAAATTTGATCATGAAGGGGGAAAAACCAGAAGGATGTTCTTGTTGAGGGAGGAAGAACAAAGCGTTAAATCCATGCGACTAAAGAGAAACAAAACACCTCTCATGATGGGCGGGAGACAATTGAAGATTTGCTTCTTCCGTTGTGGTGGGTTGTTCCTCCGTCCTCTTTCTCTTCATCTCTCAATCTTTCGCTCTCTCTCTCTCTCTCTCTTTCCCACTAAAGCAACGTCAACTCTTCGCATTACGTGATGCATGTTGGAGGGAACCTGCGCTTGTTTGTAAACGTGGGAGTGAAGTCTCGTGTATTAAAGTACAAGTACAAAGTGGTCCGTGTGTAAAGAGAACTGATGCCGAGCCATTTAATCCGAAGAGAGGAGTGGAAAGAGACGGTTGCAGAGGATGATGATGATGATGAGAAGGGTTTTTCGAGGCCCACGGGTTTCCTTCCTCCTATTTTAGCCGTCGCCGATTAAATATTGAGCGCCGTTCAAAAATAATGACCGACGCTTATACACTGTGTCGTTCCTTTATTATTAATGAGACTTCAGAGAGCCACAACTACATACTACATACATACACACTACATCGTTTCCGCCCACACTTCTCTCTCTGTATGCATGCATGCACTTCTTCAAACACTTCCGGTCACCCTCAACTTTCCGTTTAAAATTATTTCCCCACTCGGCGTAGGGTAAAGAACGTCGCCTCGGGGAACTCACGGTTTCATAACTACAATTTCATTTTTCGTACTTTGCGAAACTCCCGACAGAGTTACGGTTTCGAATGTTTGCACATTTGATGTTCAATTTTAGTTTTTCACTCAAACCATTATTATTATTTTAGTTTGCGCATTCACTTTTATATACGTGCATGCACAACTTTTGCATCGATCGAAACCTATAGAAAACACAACCAACCCACTTTTTTTTTCTTCACTTTTCTATACACTTGTTTTTTTTATTTATGTTCACACAAAGGTATGTGTGGAAAGGTAAAGCGCGTTCGCAGATTTATTCATATATTTAATGAAATGTAAAAGGAAATCTCTCTCTCCGAGAAAAAAATAAACAACCTTTCTGCTTTCTACTTTTCCACCCCTTTTCACAGAGAAACTACCAACGAAACAGAAAGAAAAACAAAACATACTCGCTATGTATGTTTAATGCGGAAATTATAATGGTAAGAGCCGAGTATCTTCATAAATATTGATGAACGGGGGTCGAAGGAAAGGATTTTCGTATTTAAACACACATTTCGATACATATTCAGAGAGATCCGCAGTGAGGAGACTCGAAATGCAACACCGAATGCGTAATGCGGACGGGACACGCAACGAAACGCGATAATCCCCAATTGATATCGAATTACGT